TGCGGGCGCCGCGTGCGGCGCCGGCGGCGGCGCGGCGGCGAGCGCCTCTTTCAGCGCGAGCACCGACGCCTCCCGCACGAGCGCCGCCACGTCGGCGCCGCTGAACCCCTCGCACCGCGCCGACCGCACGAGCGCCTCGGCGCCGGCCAGCGCGCCCGGCGCGAGCGGCGCCTTGCGCGCGGCGGCGCGGAGGATGCCGGCGCGCCCGGCGGGCGGGGGGAGCGGGACAAAGAGCACCCTGTCCAGGCGGCCGGGGCGCAGCAGCGCGGGGTCGATCATGTCGGGGCGGTTGGTGGCCGCGATGATGTAAACGCCCTCGCGGCCCTCGATGCCGTCCATCTCGGTCAACAATTGGTTGACCACGCGCTCGGCCGCCTGGGGGCGTGTCGTGCGTGTAGCGGTGATGGTGGTGATGGTTGTACGTAGTGGTGGTTTTGGTCGGCAGGAGCGAGAGGTGGTTGTTTTTGGGGGCGTTGCAAGCGGGTCAAGCGAATGTATGCGCAGGAGCGCACCTGCGCGCGTCCGTGTGCCGGCATGCGCGCCCAGGCACGCGCTGTTGCCGGCACTTCTGGGTTTCGGTGCTGAGTCGACAAGCCAGGGCCAGGCCTGCGCACGCGGCCCATGGGCGACCCCCTTCTCCCCCCCAAAAAACCGCGCGCCTGGTTGGTGTCGTTGCCCCTCCTGGGTGCGAGGGCGTCGAGCTCGTCGAAGAACAGGACGCAGGGGTGGGCGGCGCGGGCGCGCCCAAACAGCTGCCGCACCGCGCGCTCGCTCTCCCCGACGTACTTGTTCAGCAGCTCGGGGCCCTTGTGAGGGATGATGGATGGGATTTCGGAGGCAGGGTTCAACCACAAGAGTTTGGGCAGGAATTGTGAGAGAGCAGGAAGAGGGTCCTTGCGAAGCTTGGGGCCGAGGAGGGGTGGGAGGGTGGGCGGCCTGGGGCAAGCATGGCAGCGTGCCGCGTGAGGCCTCTGCTGCCGCCCCCAATGTCGACGGCAGCCGCAGGGCGGCTTCCGGGAAGCTGGAGGGGCGCGGTCCGCACCCCCGCGCATCCGTCCTCGTGCTCGCAGGCACAACTGCGTGCTCACGACGGCGAGTGACCCGCGCGCGCGCACGAAAGCGAGGTGGCCGCCCCCATACACCCACCTTGATGCTGATGAAGTTGGCGCCGCTCTCGTTGGCAACGGCCTTGGCCACCAGCGTCTTGCCGCAGCCGGGCGGGCCGTACAGCAGCACGCCCGTGGCGGCGGCGAGGCCCATCGCCGCGAAGCGCTCGGGGTGGGCGATGGGCTGGCTGATGGTGAAGGAGAGTTCCTCCTGGACCTGTGGGTGTTTTTGGGGGGGG